TATTCAGCCTGCTCAATGAACTCAGTCTGTCACTTCAGGGGAAAATGACAACTGTCTTCAAGTTGGCAGATAAAGTAGTTGCATTTAAAGCCAAACTGGATTTGTGGGGACGGCGCGTCAACAGCGGCATTTTGGACATGTTTCAAACATTAGCGGGGATTTTGGGTGAGACTGAGCCTGAGCCTTCATTCTCCCAGCTGGTGCACGATCACCTGTCTTTGCTTTTAAAAGAGTTCGAGCGCTACTTCCCAACCACAAAGGACCCACGAACTGCCAAGGAATGGATCCGCAACCCATTTGTCAACAAACCAGGTGAATCCAGCATGTCTGTGCAAGAAGAAGATCAACTGCTGGAGATCGCAAATGACGGCGGCCTTAAAAGTATGTTCGAGACAACAACTCTGCCGGTGTTCTGGATTAAAGTCATGACAGAATACCCTGAGATCACAGCACTGAAAACCCTGTTGCCATTTCCGACATCCTATCTGTGTGAAGCGGGTTTTTCTGCAGTGACAGCAACCAAAACAAAACAACGGAGTAGACTGAACATAAGCAACACACTTCGGGTGTCATTGTCTCCTGTTACCCCCAGATGGGACCGTCTCCTTTCAGAGAAACAAGTTCAGGGCTCCCATTGATTTAGCGTTATGGGGCGTTAAAAATTTCAACACAGTGGATTCACATTTATTATTATATTAACAATATAAACAATCTACGAAACGCCCCCCCACACCGGGCCGCGGTAAATTTGTCAAGCGTTGACCGGTCCGCAGTGATAAAAAGGTTGGGGACCACTGGGTTACAGTATATATGTATAGCATTTTGTGTGTGTGTGTGTGTGTGTGTGTGCATCATATATGCATATATAATGTGTATGTAAATATTTCTGTATTTCATTTCCCACCTTTGTGTTCTGGTTTTGTTCTGTTTTTGTTTTTTATAATTTTGGGGGGTTTAAGTCTATTTCTTTACAGTTTCTTCAAAAGTTCAAGTTTTACAAAGACACCTTTGTACTACCACTTGTTGGGTCTATTTTGACATTTTACTATGGTTTGAGTCTGACAACAGTAGTAGAATGCAGATACAGTATAAACTGGCTGGTGCAGTTTAACAGGTTGTGCGTGCTCCCCGGACCAACCTTTGACAAACAGTCCATTTTAGGCACATCACCAGCCTGCTGTCTGATTCAACGGCTGGCCCATTGATTCAAAGGCTGGCCCATGATTATACCGCCCTTGGCTTGACATGTATGAAAAGTACAGGGGCGGGATATTGTTGACCTTTTTGTATCAGCAGTACCACAGGATCTCAGTGTAAAAGCGGCTTTAGTTTAATCTGTATGTTGCTTTGATTCAATCTGGCACAGTTTGATCAGTCAATAGACTATAAATTATCGTGAGGTTTGAAATGATGCTCAACATTTACAGGACCCATGTTTTGCTGAGTTTTGCCTTTCTTCTTGTCCTTTTGGGGTAAGTCCGTTACCTGCAGTAATAAGTTGTATGATAGTACTGCACTGCAAAGTGTCTTTTTAAAAATATCTTATAAATTCTGCATTGTTTTGTAGCTTTTAATGGAAGTATTTAAAAGGAAATGTCAACTATGCCTTTTTGATCTGAGATTATAATAGTCTTTTTTTTAATTAATAAATATGACATATGGAAATGTGTATCCATTATCTAAATAGGTTAAAAATTGTTACATTTTGGGGATTACTTTGGTGTGCTTTGCTTTTCTTCTCCTCATTCTGGGGTAAGACTTTTACTGAGTAAGGATACCAGATACACTAATTTACACACTAGACCTTATTATAAAGAGTGTAAAAGGTGAGGCTGTTAGGGTTCTCACACCGGACTAGGACAAGGAAGGAATTTAGAAACATCTTTAATAAGGGTAGGGGTACAAGAATACAAAAATAACAGTCGGGAATGAGCCCTGGTCAGGAGTGGCCCAGGCCATGATGAGGGCCAATCAGGTAGTCAGGAAGGCAAGAGCGGTGTTGGTGGAGCTGCTAGAAGAGGAACCAGAGTGGTCAGAGATCCTGGAGTACACAGACGGGTGGAGCCGACAAGAATGAATTGGAGCTGTGCCGCCAATGACCCAGGTACTCGCAGGTATACAAAATAAAACAGAGTTGGAGAACAGAGTAACTGGCAGTACAGGAACGTGACGTGGGTATAGGAGGACAAAAGTGGCATCAGCATAGGTGGCAATTCAGGAAGTCGCATACAAGCAGGTGAAGGCTGAAATGTCGACCACGACATGATGACAGTAGACAGAGGCTGAGAATTCGGCAGCATTGTTGGCAGATCAGGTTTTTCAGCTTTACTGCACAGAGTAGACTGGAGCAAACAGTAACAGTGTCACTGGCAGATCAGGGACAGATAGCTGGTAATGCTGCACAGAAATCAAGCCGGCGTCAGTGATGTTTCAGGTAACAAACAATACCACACTACAAAAGTCCAAAACTGGTCAGAGTCCAGAAAGGTGCCCACAAAAAATAGGGTTGGGGGGGAAACCCAGGTTGTATGCAGTAATACAGATGGGATCTGAGGACAATCTAAAAATGGACAGTTCAGACTCTGGAAAAATGAAAACCATGCCTGATGGGGAAACCTAGGACTGGACAGGACACTGAGGCCCCTCCGGGCGGAAAATCCAGGAACCAGATATGAAGCTGGAGAGGCCACTTGGGTGGATGCCCCTGGGACCAGACAAGAAACTGAAAAGGCTGCTCTGGCTGATGACCTCTGGGTTGGGTAGGAGGCTGGCAGAGCCATTCAGCACAACCACTGTTCACACCTTACTGGGTGTTGGTGTCTGACATAAGCTCTTATTCACTCTTACCAGATGTGCCATTATTACTTCTTATTACTCAGGACAATTTCATTTGGTTCTTATTATTCTATAGACCTGTCATGATTACAGTAATAAACACAGAGCATACATGTTTTATACAGAGAATGGAAAAAATTAAATGAAGTTTGAGCCAATTAAATCAACAGAGTGGTGGTAAAGATAAAACATGAAAAACCTTTGTGTTGTTCTTTTTCCACCTGCCTGCAAGTTAAAGAAATACTTTTGTTTGTTTTGTTTGTCTGTTTTAATTATTTAATTGGCAAAATTATTCACTGATGTATGGTGGAAAATTGCACATTAATTACTGTGTGTCAGGCCAAACTCTCTCACTTCTTATTGCTTTATTGTCCTGTGAAACGCACAATTGGGAAACCTTTAAGAGCCATGGTCTCCCCTGTCTTTATAGAGCCATCTACGTCTACTCAGGATATACCACCTCATCTTTCAGAAGGTAAGGCTTGTTTAAGACAGAGAAACGCATGTCCCCGCTTGAAATGAACACTAACTGAATACTGTAATAGTTCGTCATCCATCCTGTCTCTGCCCAACCTCTTCAGAAGGTTACATACTGTGGTAATTTTCCTACGCCGTTTTTTTAATTGATTTGTTTACGAATTTTATTCATTTCACCGTTATATGATTATATTTTGTGTTTCCCTGTTAAGCTCAGCCATGTGATAAAATTATTGCCCCCCAAATGGATTTCTGTCTTAGCCCCTGCAGACATAACAAAACTTTGTGTCAATCATCAAAAACAATAAAATTGCTTGATTTTTTTTGGCTGGTTACTTCAAACATAGTTTGGTCAACTACAATAACGTGAACTGCAGGTATCCATCATAACACTACAGTATGAATAAAACATGAATAACAATTTAGTCATTGTGTTTTGCTGTGGTAAATGTTTATGGTATAGAAAATGCATGATAAAACAATGTGGTTGCGAGACATTTTATAGCAAACAATGGATAAAATGTGACTTTGTTTTATGAGAACTCGAGACGCCTCAACATTCTTCGTGGCTTATGTAGACTTTGTACCCGCGTTATTTTATTTTGTACCTCCACCTCAGCTACTGAACACAGACTGTGTTTGTAGTAAACTCTAGCCTTAACCTTTTCTTGCTCTTCTAAGAAATAAATTCTCATATTGTGGCCTAGTGTTGCTTTTAAGGCAGTGTGTATTATATTCAGTTTGAATAAACTTAACACTAAGTTTAATGGCAATATCAACTGTTTTGCTTTTCTTTGTACAAAAAAGCAGAAGATGAACAATAAAGTTTGCTTTTAGTTAATTAGGGCAAATTACTGTATGTGAGTGAGTGTGCATGTGGATTTTTTTTGTATTTCCATGTATTTAACTGTGTGCATTCCCTTCTAAGCTTTTACTGGCCATGTGATAAAAGCCCTGAGGTAGAGGTGAAGACGGTGGTAAGCAACTGCACAAACAGCCGCAGGAGGATTGGAGACCTAAAGATGGAAACTGGGTAATAATCCACTTTCTTTTTTCTTTTAATTGACAGACAGGAGCAGTTGGTTCAAATGCAATTGTACATTTACACAGTCACACTCTCTGACTTTAGCCCACATCCTCAACTGCTCATAAAATAATAAATGTTGTCAGAATCTGCATGAGATCATAATAGTACGACGTGACAAAGACTATGAAGAGGAAGAAGCCTTGCTTGTTTTTGCTATGCAAACTTACTCCACCTCTGCTAGTGGGTTGCCGTCATTACAGTTCTTTGTTCCCGTCAGCGACTACACTGGGACTTTTAAGCACCCTCTGTAATCAACTGCCATTCCTACAAAACTAAACACTTTCCATAGTGCACATGGCATATTACATATTATTGGATATGATTTTACAAAGGCAGTGCAAGGTCAGTGGTTAGAACTTTTGCCACATTATAAAAATGTCCTTCCAGCATGCTGCCAACCTGCTCATGTTTACCTGTCTAATGCCTAAAGCATGCTGCGATGGGCTTCAGACCCCCATGTCCCTAAATGGGTACTGACAGATGAATGGATTGGTAAATGGTTAGCACCATTTTAAAAGCACGTGAGTTTTCAGGAGCTCAGAAACACAGGAGTTCATTGGCACAGCAACATGAGATGATGTATAGAGTTTCTCTGGTTTGTCTCCTGTTAGGAATTGCCATGGCTTTTGTCTGTCTTTGTTGTACAGTTTTACTTTATGCATTTTCTGAACTCTTATCATTTTGCTGTCTTTACCCTGCATGTGCATCTGACCAACAGGACGTTCTTCTTTTGAATAATACATTTAGATTTGGTTTGATCTTTGCTTTCTGTTTTCAGACTGAAATATGCTCAGCCAAGCACACAGAAAGGGTAAGCTAATTCAAAATGATATTTCTGTGATGACCGTTGAACATGTCACATTGATACTGTATCACAAACTTAAAGACTTAAACTGTCCTGACATTTGATGTATTGATGAAGAGCCAGTTGAAGTTGGAAACTTAGTGTTTATGTAGCCTAATGCTTCAGGAGGTTTTCACATCATTTCGCTTGTTGCACTTTGTTGTAACATTTATGCTTTTCAAAAAATAATTTGTCAGACATATTCCAACACAATCTTTAAATTATTTATTTTTTTATGAATTGGCCAAATAGATCATCTAAAACTAATTAATGAGTTTTACAGGTGCTGGTGGGCAAATTTATTTATGTTTGGACAAACCCTGGTTGGTTGTTTCCCACGATTTCTAGTCCTCATGTTAAGCTAAGCTGCCATTCCTACAAAACTAAACACTTTCCATTATATGGAAATAAATGTTCACAACAATATTATAATAGCTACATAGGTCTACATAATATTCCCACTGACTGTGCTCTTCTTCACTTAAAATTAATCTGCAAATATTTTAATAATTGAGTAACAGTTTCTAGCCTTTTT